TTTTTTTTTTTTTTTTTTTTTTAATAAAAGCTGTTGCTTCTTTCCCATTGGCCAGCTTGCCCCAGGTTTACCTGCTGTGTCTAAAAGTAGCTTGCAGCAACCCAGACTGACGCAGCTTATTGGCTAATTTGTATCACGTGCAGCTTGGTCCCAGACACTCTGGAGAGCTTTACCATATTAACAGGAGAAGTAGTGCAAGTGAAGTTAAACATTGTCGTCAGACAACATGCGGTAATTTATAAATGTTTTGCGGTAATTTATAAATGTTTTACGGTAAATCAGGTTATGTCTGGAACACGGTCTGCTAATCCATGACCTCTGATATATACTATGGAGGCTCTGTCTGTATAACCAATAACGGTTTAAGTTTTCTGGGTCTTTTTGGTTATAAATGTGTTTATTGTGACTAAGTCATTAAAAACCTGCTGACATCAGAAGCCTGTACCAGAACTGATAGTCTGAAGGGCAGAAATCAAGTAGGTTAACAAGTCCTGCAGGACTACAGGGTTGTTTCGGTTCTGTTTTGATGGTGGTTCTAATCCCTGGCAGGTGTGCATCCTCACTGGGTTCTCCGCACCCTGTTGCTCTGTTCGCAGCTACCAACAGAGCAGATGTGGTTAACCTGATGCTGAACACATCTTATCTCACTGCTGAGGTGAGGCTTTTAAAACTAAAATAAAATTATAAATAAAAAGTTAATCTACAGATTACACACTTCTTCTTTAGTTGTATGTCCACTGTAGTGTGGTGCTGTCAGATCTGGGAGTCAACACTGCAGCAAAATCCTGTAACTACAACTCGACTGGATCACGGTAAGTACAGATGCAACATGAAGCATCCCATTTAAAGGATTTTGTCAAGTTGTGGCTTTATTTTTAAGATGGGAGGAACTAAGTGGCGACACAGAAGTCTGTGCTTGCTGTAGCTCAAAGTGTAAAGGACAGTCGCACAAGAACCTTCCTGATGGTGAGTTTATTGGTTTTTCAGGATGCTCATCTTTCTTTGCTTAACTTTGTGCGTATCTTCTCAGGTGCCAAAGGAGCCGTCAGCCTTGGCCCATTGCTCATAGTGGATGAGTGGGAGTTCAGCACTGTTCTTCCAGACTCTAAACGCCTTGAATCATCAGGTTCCTCCTTGCCCACCACCACAAGGGCTTCCACTGTACCTGGAGAAGATGGAATAGTTTCTTCTGCTTTTCTGAGCCAAGGCGAGCTCCAGTCTTCCCCAAAGGGTATCTTAGTGGTGCACCAGGAGCCGACAACCAGGTTAACTGTTTGGCTACCTGAGCAAGTGCAGGGTGATCTACCCACTGCACCTGTAATCGAGAATATAGGTGGCTCTTCACAGTGGGACACTAAGCTGGTTGATGGGTGGCAGATTCCACAAAATGACTTTTCCTTTGAATTTCAAAGGAAAAGTAGATATGATCATTTGGACACAGAAAAAAACCAACCTGGCTTCCCTCATCCTACTGAGATGGATGTTAATCCTTTGCTGGTTGAGCCAAAAGCTGCTGTCCTAGATGCAACAGCACAGGAAAGCCAAATGAATAGGTCACCATCGAGCAATTCTGAGCTGCAAAGGGATGCAGCGGTGGAGCCAGACTTGGAGGTCCAGCCAATAATTCGTACAAAACTGGAGTTTTCAAAGGGTGCAGATGGGTCAAAGAAGCTCAGTTACGAGGAAGAAGTAAAGCAGCAGGAGACCAGGCATGAGGCGAAGGATGGTGCGAAGAGGAAGCACAGACTGAAGGGGCTGCGCTTAACATTTGTGGATTTATTGAGGTATGAAGTAATTTTAAAGCATTAGACCCCTTTAACATTTTATGTTGACTGGATCTGTTTGTTTGCAGGAAAATGGATAAGGAAGAATGATGCAACAAACAACAAAATAAACATTCATTCAAACAATTGACTCTGGTTTTCAGGTTTATTTTTTTTTTATTCCTATTCACTGAAATTATACATTAATGCTGACATTAAACTTCGTCCCCCCAAAAAACTTAAATGCACATTTAAAGTGTGGGCACTGGAATTTATCCAAAAGGCACGAATACTGGGTACCACCCTTTAATGGGTAAACTGTGTAATGACTATTAAAGACTGAACTCGAACAATTGCCATTATAAAATACTAATATGTGGTAAACATAAAATGCATTTGGAAGTACTAATGTTACCAGCTGGTAATTGCCTCAAAGTAAACTGTGCTCTTCTGCATATACAGGTTTTGCTGATGAGTGTATTTAAATGTCACACTTCAAGCTGCACATGATTAGTTAAATATGCTTAAATGGCTGGAAATTTGACAAAGGGTACAATTAACTCTGAAAGACTACGGTTTCATTTAATGGGGTCAGTTAAGTCATGGTATGGGGTGGGGAAACCAGGATTTTTAAGTCTTTACCATGGCTTTACACTAAGAAATATGTATTTGGCCTTCATTTGAGCAGGTAAATTGGATGATCGTCCAATGGAATAAGTACTTTTACTCTTCAAATAAGAATTGGATAATCACTTGCCCGAAGACGATGCAATTTTTCTTAAATGTAAATTGTTTTACTTTTGGCAAAGTGTCTAAAGAAAAATACTTCATTATTTTGCATTGTAAATGTTATGGCTGAATTTTTAATAAAAGGTTTATCTTTAATGTTTTAAGGTAAAACTTTAAACATTTTTTAAAATGTCTAACCTTTGTCTTAAGCTTCGAAATAAAGTCCAACCTTTAGTTTTACAGTGGCAATCACAGCTGTGCATCTAAAATGATGGGATTTAATCTAAGGTTATCTGTTCAGATTTTCAATTAAGTCTTTGCAAAACAGTCTTTGGTTCCACTGTGCTATTAATGAAATTTAAACGTGTATTAATATCCTATGGTTAAAATTAAAATGCTGAAATAACAGTTTAAATACTATAGAACATAAAATACAACTGGGCTTTAACATTTTATACCTCACTTATGGTCCACATTTAATTTCAGTTCAGTTTATTTTATATAGAGACAATACACAACACGTCATCTCAAGGCACTTTATAGTTTTCTAAGGAAAACCGGTTGATTGCATCGATTCATTGACTTAAATGCAATCCCACACACTAAGCATGCTTGTAGCGACAGTGGAGAGGAAAAACTCCCTTTTAACAGGAAGAAACCTCCGGCAGAACCAGGCTCAGTGTGAGCAGCCATCTGCCGAGGCCGAGTGGGGTTCAAGGAGAAAGAAGCAGAGATACAAAAAGGAACTGTAAAAGGCGGCCCCGTCCAGGAAACACACAGCCAGGCAGATGAGCTCTGAGCCAGCTCCCATGTCAGAGGATGAAGAGAGCACATAAACAAAGGTGTTGACGGCAGCAACACAGCTGATATTTCTCTCCAGGATGGTGTCAGTGAAACAGGAACAGACGAGGTAAAGCTACTATGAGGAAAAAGCAGACAGACCATAATGTTAGAGATTCAACGATTCTGCAGAGTGGGAGAATAGAGATAGAATGATGAAATCCCACCTCCCCTCTAAGGGGAAAAATAAGTTGTTGTTTTTTTAATATCTTTAATTTCTTGATTGACTTTGTTCTCACAGTGCAGAAATGTACTTGTTACATCAGCTCAAAATTTAAAGAACTTGCCAAAGGATTAAAAAGGTGCATGATATAGGCCTATATTTACAGTGCGTCCACATGACAGCTTTTGTTTTTTTTTCTTCATGTAAAACTTTTAAGTGAAAATATTTGCTTCTTAAAATTGGAAATATTTTCCAACTGTAAAAGTACAACCTTTTTAGTTTTACAGTAAATCCTGGCAAGCACAGCTGCCTTTACTTAGTGTATCTAACACTAGAGTATCTAAAATGATGGGATTTAATCTAAGGTTATCTGTTCAGATTTTCAATTATTAAATCTTTGCAAAACATTATTTTGGTTTCACTGTGCTATTGATGAAATTTAAACATGTATTTTTAATGGCCTACTTGCAATTATAGTTTAAATACTATAGGGCATAAAATAAAAATGGCCTTTTACATTTTATACCTCACTGATGGGTCCACATTTAATACCACTCCCCCTCCCTGCCACTCCTCGACTAGGGGGGGAAAAAATAAGTTTTTATTTTTTATTTCTTGATTAAGTTTGTTCTCACAGTAGAGAAATGTACTTGTTACATCAGCTCAAAATTTAAAGAACGTGCCAAGGGATTAAAAAGGTGCATGGGATATATACAGTGCGTCCACGTGACTTTTTTTATTTTTTTTTTTAAGTAAAAATTTTAAGTGAAAATTTGCTTCTGTAAAAGTTTCTGTCTTAAAATTGGAAACATTTTCCAACTGTAAAAGTTCAACCTCTGTAGTTTTACAGAAAAATACTGGCAAGCACAGCTGCTTTTATTTCTTAATGTATCTAACGCTAGAGTATCTAAAATTATGGGATTTAATCTAATCAGATTTTCATTTACTAAATCTTTGCAAGACATTCTTATTTTGGTTCAACTGTGCTATTAATGGATTTTAAGTGTGCGTATTTTGTTAATGGCCTACTTTGGATAAAAATTATAGAAAACATGCTGAAATGACAGTTTAAATACTATAGGGCATAAAATACAGATATGCTTTTATATCTCACTGATGGGTCCACATTTAATTAGTGACATATAGACTGAGCTTCCCAGCAGGTTTTCTGTATCTAAAGTTTGTTTGTATTCCAACCCAGGCGTCGCTGTGGGGAGCTGCTGTGTGTTGGGACAGTAACAGGGTGCGCTCTTCCTTTTACTGCGCATGCTCAGTGTGCTCCTATCCCAGGTTTGACCCTCACCACTATTTCCTCTGCACCGCTACTCTCTATAAAGGGCCCATGCTTTCCTTACACTCTCTCTTTCCCCGGCCGCAAAACGACCGTGAGTGTCTAACTCACTGTTGTAGGAAAAAAAAAAAACTTAAAATAAAAACGCATAAAAAATATAAAATATACAAAATCTAAATAAAAACAAATGCAGCAATATTTAAAAGAAACAAACTAAAAAAAAAAACAAAAAAAAAAAAAAAATACAAACAGAAATAGGATTTTTAAAGAAGTTCTCAAGGTTAATTCTAAGAGGCTGGATTTGCGGAAGCTCCTACAATAATCGGTGAAAACTGAGGTGCGTTTCTGAGCCGGTTTGTTTATTTTCAGGATTAATTCACTCATAGCGGACACATTTTATATTCAGGGAGCTGTTTTAAGAAATGAACACTGCGACAGGGAGTTATCCGATGGCTTCTCTCTACGTTGGCGACCTGCACCCCGACATCACGGAGGCTATGCTGTATGAGAAGTTCAGCCCCGCCGGACCGGTGCTCTCCATCCGGGTCTGCAGGGACATGATCACCCGCCGCTCCCTGGGATACGCTTATGTCAACTTCTCTCAGCCCGCTGACGGTAAGCCAGACTCAAGACAAACCACACACACCTGATAAAACATTTCCTCTGGTGCTCAAAGCAAAGATCTTTACATTTTTTGGAAGCAATTTGCACATTTACTTCCTCCAGTGTTTTTCTTTCTTTATTACAATTCACAATAATACTGTTCATGCAGGAATGATTTGTAAAATCTAGAAAAATTTGCTCTCTGAGAACCAATTTCTTTACAAAAACCCATTAGCCATTTGACATAAAGGACAGGGGCGGATTTACCATTAAGCAAAACTAGGCAGTTGCCTAGAGCCCAAAGTTCCTGGGGGGCCCATAAAACTCCTTTTCTATACAGCTATTACTTATTTGTGCAAATTAATTATG